GGGTGCGCCCCTCGCCCACCCAATTTATTTCCTGCCTGGCCCGCTCACTGAACGTTTCCAGGTGGTTTCCCTTCTCATTGTTCGTAGTTGCTTCGTTGACTGGTCCGGTCAGCTTCCAACAAAAGTAAAATAATGCACTGCTAGCTGTTAAATTTGTCTCAGGAGGCCATCTAGTTTTCTAAGTTTTTAAAATATACATCAAGATTTCTAAACTTACTAACAGTGTATCTTGTGAGATTTAAATCAACGTACAATTTAAGTTAATTTACCTGATGACAATCAGCATGTGAGGCCCACATGCCGGTGGGGAGAGAGATGAGACCGGCATGTAGGCTTTAGAGCAACTCCAAGAGATTAGCCAAAAATAGATTTCAATATCCATGATTTAGCCATCTTCTAAAATAAAATCTCCTAAAAGAAACATGGATTCTCCAACAGCCGTGGTAAATTTCCTGTTTCATAGTCAAAACTTGCCACGTCATCTATTGTTTGTTTTGGCTCCACCAATCTCATCAACTAAATGTTCACCGGAGCCTCATGAAATCAGGGTGAGAGAGCCGATGGCAAGCGCCCCAGGCTTGCTATTTCTAGCTAGCGAAAAAGATGGGATAGCCTACTAGATATTTTGGAAACCCGGTTAGCATAGTTGTTGGAGACTATTTTATATCATAGATTATCTAAAATGGGCTCAAAATAAAAAATAGCATCTCTCTTGGAGTTGCTCTTACTTGTCGGTTAATTTACCTGATGACAATTAGCATGTGAGGCCCACGTGCCGGTGGGGAGAGAGATGAGACCGGCATGTAGGCCTTACTTGTCGGCGCCATGCATGTCATCACGCGATCAGCGTCGATAGACCACACAGCAGGTGAATTATCTTAAGTTATGATGATTATATTTAGACTTGACATGACACGATTAGTAAATTTATGGAGTTTAGATATACATTCTGGAAGTTTTTTATGAACTTGGATAACATCCCGGCTATGTTAGATGACTAGGGGTGCATGTTACTCTCGGCAACTTCCAAGAAATTAAATATATATACACGACGAATTGAAAATTCGTATATGCTGCGTCTCTTCAACACGGTACTACTATGTCTCTCTCCGAAATTTCCACGTAACGCACGATGGATTGAAACGAGATCGATGGAGGAACAAACAATCAAAGTATCAAACATCTTGTCCTCGATCGCATGGGAAAACTCGGCCACAACCTGGTATTCCCCGTCTGCTCATGTACGTACGTAGTAGCCGTGCATGGTTTTGATCGATCGGCTTTTGCGATGGCTACCTGCATTTCGGTTTTGGATCCCCATTGGCATGCACGCTTTGACAAGGAAATGTAGTCATGCATCGACTTGCATGTGCATGGCGTCTTCCGATCGATCCAACAAGAGCCAAAGTCATACAACCGTACAAGTGCTTGGATATATATATATATATATATATATATATATATATATATATATATATATATATATATATACACACACACATACTAGCAGGTAACCCCTCCATGCCACTAGCAGAACCTCAAGGAGTTGAACCTAGACCCTTGCTTCCATGTGTGAGGTAGCACTAGCACCTTTGCCAATAGGCGGAGGTAAAAATCCAGTAGGCTCATGTTCCCTTGCAGGATGGAGGTTGATATCCTGACACGGCCATATATGTTTTCCCTCATGAGAGGTGAGGGTCGGAGCCGAGCACGACGCGGCGTCGACAACGATCAATTTCATGAGGGCTTATTTGTTTAAACTGAAGGTTTTAGGATTAATTCTGACTCGAAAACTGGTTTTCTTGCGCTATTGTTTTTTTTAGTTTTTTCAAAGTACCAAAAGCTAGAAAAGTTGTTCAAAGCGTGACTGATTTTTCAGCCTTTTGAAGTCAACTCAACCGCTGTTTTTTTTTTAGCTTCTTGCTTTTGGTTGATAGAACTACAGAAGTAAGATAAATAAAAGCTGAAATCAAGCCCTGAGTTCCGAGTTGAAGAAGAGCACCGAGGTCCGGGCATCGCAAATGCGTTACATGTGGCGACGACGGCACGCTGCTAGCTAGCTGCTCGTTGTGTAGTCGTCGTGACCCACATGCCATCGGCGAAAGAGGATATCGGCTATGTGGCCCTGCTCGCGCCCGAGGGCCACTCGCCCGCTCGGCACCAGCCCGCGCACCGCACGTCTGCACGCTTGGCTCGATGCGGCCGCCACGCCTACGCGCCTCAGTCCTGCCACCCGTGCCGTCGTCAGCCCGTCACCGCGTCGCTGGATGGGAATTGGCGAGAGAACCAAAAAGATAGAGAACACATGAAAAAGACGACGGAGAGATAATAAGATTACGGGACAGAGGAAATATATTGTGGCCCAACACAAAATAAAACTGCACTTTGTATGATGGAGTTTGTAAATGAGGTGTTAGCTTACATATATTCTCTTAGCCTCGACTCAATCAACCGCTACTATAACAGTAATGTTCACATGAACCGTTTTTCTCTCTCATCGCAAAGTGAATTAGAGCTTGAAAAAGCCACATTTTTCAAGCTCCTCTAACTCTAGCTCCTTCAGCACTGTAGCATGTAGCAAGAGTCGGAGAGAGCCCTGCCAAACGGGGCCGAAAACTACATTATTGGGTTAACCCCACCTAGATCTACTACTCACAAGCTTGGAGGCTGGCTCACAGGCATTGGGAGGGAGGATAAAAACCAGATTTTTGTGGAGGCGGCTGCTATTATTTGGACAATTTTGTGTACTTGTGATTACATTATTTTTGAGAAAAAATAATATTTCTTTTTTATGTGGCTATTTTCAAAGGACCATATAATGGTTATGCGGCTATAGGCGCTATCTTGCAGCGTGAAGATAAAAGAGAGATGTTCCGATTGTCATGCAAAGTGTTGGATGTTAACGTTTTAGACGTGTTTGCCAATAATGGATGACAAAGTAATAATAGACTTTGCATATGATTTTCTTCTATTTGAGTGCGCTCTTCTTCTTTATTTTTGTCAGCAAATAAACTGATAACATTATAAAATTTGGGTGTGTGCGGTCGCAGAGGCTCGATTTTTTTCATTTTCTAAAAAATATATATGAAAACTATGTAGTAGTTTGGGGTTAGGACGGCCCTTATAGTCTAATACATCTAGACTATATAATGATACTCCCTCTATCGTGAAATGATAATCCTATTTTGTATACTAAAAGGTCAAATTTAATAACCTTTGACCAATAGTTATTTAAATATATACAAATTTGGAACATAAAACTTGCATTAAAGTGTCTTTGACATGATATTGATTCTTTAGCAAATACTATCTCTGCCTTGAAAAAACTTGATGTTTAAGTGTTATCCTAAGTCAAATTATATTAAGATTGAGCACATCTATAAGGGAAATTTTCCACACAAAAAGGGAAATTTTTAGTGTTTGTGACATAACATAATGCAATATAAAAATATACGTTCGATGTGATTGGTACTTATTTGGTACATAAGTATTAGTACTCTTTTGCACAAATTTGATTAGACTTAAATAGTTTGATTTATTTTTAAAGTCTTTTAAGACATGACACTAACATTACCCCTTCCATTTCAAATTATAACTTATTATGGCTTTTCTATATATATTGTTTTTGCTTTGCACCTAGATATATGCTATATCTAGATACTTAACAAAAATTTTGTAGACGTGTTTGCCAATAATGGATGACAAAGTAATAATAGACTTTGCATATGATTTTCTTCTATTTGAGTGCGCTCTTCTTCTTTATTTTTGTCAGCAAATAAACTGATAACATTATAAAATTTGGGTGTGTGCGGTCGCAGAGGCTCGATTTTTTTCATTTTCTAAAAAATATATATGAAAACTATGTAGTAGTTTGGGGTTAGGACGGCCCTTATAGTCTAATACATCTAGACTATATAATGATACTCCCTCTATCGTGAAATGATAATCCTATTTTGTATACTAAAAGGTCAAATTTAATAACCTTTGACCAATAGTTATTTAAATATATACAAATTTGGAACATAAAACTTGCATTAAAGTGTCTTTGACATGATATTGATTCTTTAGCAAATACTATCTCTGCCTTGAAAAAACTTGATGTTTAAGTGTTATCCTAAGTCAAATTATATTAAGATTGAGCACATCTATAAGGGAAATTTTCCACACAAAAAGGGAAATTTTTAGTGTTTGTGACATAACATAATGCAATATAAAAATATACGTTCGATGTGATTGGTACTTATTTGGTACATAAGTATTAGTACTCTTTTGCACAAATTTGATTAGACTTAAATAGTTTGATTTATTTTTAAAGTCTTTTAAGACATGACACTAACATTACCCCTTCCATTTCAAATTATAACTTATTATGGCTTTTCTATATATATTGTTTTTGCTTTGCACCTAGATATATGCTATATCTAGATACTTAACAAAAATTTTGTATCTAGAAAAGTTAGAACGACTTATAATTATATTATAAGAGAAATTAAAAATTTAAATATTTTTCGTGAGCTGTTTAAAAATACCTTGGCCTCAGTCCTCACTCAACTGCATTTTTGGCCCGCAGCCGCCTGCATCCTCTCAGTGGCACACTCACCAGAGACACAGGTCCGCATTATCTCGTCTCTCCAGATGCCAACGTGGGAATATTATAACGTCAACTTTCCATACTCGTTCGACTAGACAAGCTACAATTGACATATGGGTCCTACAGTGTTAAAGGCCCACCGATCAGCGACACCAGCTTCCCCCGCAAAGCCCTCGTCCTTATCCCCAATCCCCACGGCAGTGGCCCATCCCACCCGTCCCCATCTGATCTCCCCGTCGGCGTAGGCCCCCACCGCCTCCTTCCCCTCGCCGTCGCGAGACCGGGCAGCCAGTAGCCGCAGGAGTAGGTGCTCCGTGCCCCGCTCTCCAACACCAAAAAGTGGAACCCCCTCACGCCCACGCGAGGTGGTCGACGGAGAGCCGCAAAGGAGGAGGAGGAGGAGGAGGAAATGGCGGGATCCGGCGGGCTGCCCATGTCGAGCGGTGCGGACGGATCGGATCCCAGCACGGGCCTTGGCCCGGGGACGATCCCAGAGCCGGCGGACCGTGAGCTGCCGCTGCTACAGGCGCCGTCGCCGGCGCCGCAGCAGGAGGCGGTGGCGTCGCAGGCCGAGGCGCCGGTGCCAGCGTTCACCATCGTGATCTCGCGGCCAGGGGAGGAGGAGGTTCAGACGCCCGCTGCAAAGGGTGGCTCCCCGGCGTGCTCCCCGCAGGCCGGTGACGGCAAGGCTATGGCCGCCTCGGTTTCGTTGACCGCTTCGGCGGCCGCGAAGGAGGCCGAGCTAGCAAGGTCCGACAGCTTCGATGACTACGAGCAATGCAGGTATTGAGTCGGTGTGGGTTTCCCTCTGCGCAAGCTCAGTCCATTTTAGTGAATTGCGAGTTGGGACGGGGACGAGGGTGTGTTCTGCTTGGGAGTGTTCCAATTTTGTATGGGTACCTCGTTAGGTTTAGCAGTTGCGCGTTTTATCCATCCATGAATTACCTGCGATAGCTTTGGGTGATCCTGCCTTTGGGGCGTTGCTTGCTCATGCAGTGAAGTGATTGTAGGCATATGAACGAACTTTCGTTTATGATGTAGTGATTCATTTCTTGGAGTCGCTCTAGCTCATGGATCATGTCAACTGGACCGATTATCCTAGCTGCCTTTTTCTGTCTTTGATTACACCAGTGGATTTTTTCCTGAAGTTGGGTGAATGTTGTTCATCACATATAACATGCGAGCAATAAGTTCGGGAACATTTTCATTGTCAGTTTATCGGCATCTTTATTAGTATTGACTTTGCCTGTGCTTGTGATTTACAGCCCATATATTAGTGTAGTTAGGCTGTCATGGAGTACAAATGGGACTACAAAGCATTCCTGGTAATTATGATATCTTAGGGTCTTGTAGGTATTTAGGCATTGATGAGAAGATAGGTTATGCTTCGCAATGCAGTTGAGTTGACCTTAAATGTAGAAGCGAAGGATATTCGGAATGATTTAAGCTTATAGCAACTTCGTGCTCAAGGTTGCTGATGGCAAGATCTTTTGTGTGTAGAATTATTATAGATTAGGACTTCATAGATTCAATAATTCGATGAATATATATGGTATTTACTTCTTGGCTATGAAAGGCTAACTGGCAGCTAGGAGGCTGCAGGTGAAAAACTATATGATAAAGCATGCTGGAAAGTGATAATCAACTTCTGGCTGAGCATTTCGTGTACCACAAATGGGCAGTGAGCATGGACTGCACCATTGATTTGCCATGTATTGATGTTCTTGTGTTGATCTTTTTGATATACTCGATGCAAGTAATAACACATCCAATCTGTTTAGAGCCGCAAAGGAGGAGCAGGAGGTGGCAGGATCCGGCGGGCCACCCATGTCGAGCGGCGCGGATGGATCGGATCCCAGCACGGGCCTTGACCCGGGAATGATCCCAGAGCCACCAGGCCGTGAGCCACCTGTGCTACAGGCTCCGTCACCGGCGCTGCAGCCGGAGATGGTGGCGTCGCAGGCCAAGGTGCTGGTGCCAGCGGTCACCATTGTGATCTCGCGGCCAGGGGAGGATGTTCAGATCCCCGATGCAAAGGGTGGCTCCCCGGCGTGCTCCCCGCAGGCCGGTGATGGCAAGGCTATGGCCGCCTCGGCTTCCTTGACTGCTTCGGCGGCTGCTAAGGAGGCCGAGCTGGCAAGGTCCGACAGCTTCGATGACTACGAGCAATGCAGGTAACAAGTCGGTGTGGGTTTCCCTCTGCGCAAGCTCAGTCCATTTTAGTGAATTGCGAGTTGGGACGGGGACGAGGGTGTGTTCTGCTTGGGAGTGTTCAAATTTTGTATGGGTACCTAGTTAGGTTTAGCGTTTGCACGTTTTATCCATCCATGAATTACCTGCGATAGCTTTGGGTGATCCCTGTCTTGGGGCGTTGCTTGCTCGTGCAGTGAAGTGATTGTAGGTGTATGAACGAACTTGCTTTTATGATGTAGTGATTCATTTCTTGGAGTCGCCCTAGCACATGGATCATGTCAACTGGACCGATTATCCTAGCTGCCTTTTTCTGTCTGTGATTACACCAATGGATTTTTTTTTTCCTGCAGTTGGGTAAATGTTGTTCGTCACATATAACATGTGAATAAGTTTGGGAACATTTTCATTGTCAGTTTATCTGCATCTTTGTTAGTATTGACTTTGCCTGTGCTTGTGATTTAGAGCCCATATATTAGTGTAGTTAGGCTGTCATGGAGTGCAAATGGGACTACAAAGCATTCCTGGTAATTATGATATCTTAGGGTCTCGAAGGTATTTAGGTGTTGATGAGAAGGTAGGTTACTACGTTAGGCTTCCCAATGCAGTTGAGTTGACCTTAAATGTAGAAGCAAAGGATATTCGAAATGATTTAAGCTTACAGCAATTTCGTGCTCAAGTTTGCTGATGACAAGATCTTTTGCGTGTAGAATTATTATAGATTAGGACTTCATAGATTCAATAATTCGATGAATATATATGGTATTTACTTCTTGGCTATGAAAGGCTAACTGGCAGCTAGGAGGCTGCAGGTGAAAAACAATATGATAAAGCATGCTGGAAAGCGATAGTCAACTTCTGGCAGAGCATTTCGTGCACCACAAATGGGCTGTGAGCATGGACTGATTTGCCATGTATTGATGTTCTTGCTTGGAAGACAGCTATTCACGTGCCTGAACCTTGATTGCTTCTGCTGGGTTTCAACTCTAGCCTACCCCAACTTGTTTGGGACTGAAAGGCTTTGTTGTTGTTGTTGTTGTTGTTGATGATGATGATGTTCTTGTGTTGATCTTTTTGATATACTCGATGCAAGTAATAACACATCCAATCTGTTTTCTCCTGGTTCTTTGACATTTTTAAATATTGAAGGGAATACTATGTTTTGGATCATTGGATATTCTAGTTTCTTATGATCTACTAATCTGAACGGTTATCTTTAGGAGCTTAATTTTACCAATATAAACACCTGGAATCAAATATTGGTCATTTCTTTGATAGGAGTAACACTCATACTCTTAATAAGCCCAGGTCCCAGTTAAGGTACCAGGGGACCAAGTGGTTATCTTGTTTTGGAAGGAACAATGTAGAATTCATTAGTTAATAAAGACACCATTTCTCTTAACAGAAATACATTTTTTTTTACTATTAGACATCGCAATGCCATCCCATAATTAGGTCCAGTCATGTAAAACACACATCTAGAGGCCCTTCAGTACACACTGGCATTTTATTTACCTTCAAATTTTTATATATTACTGACTCTTACCACTTGTTAACTTATTTTTTTTTTCTGGAGGATGAATACCTTTTTAACTTCTGCAGAGTTTGTCAACAGAAGACAGAAGAACCTCTGGTTGACCTTGGATGCAGATGTCGTGGTGATCTCGCAAAAGCACATCGCACATGCATTGATGTTTGGTTTCGTACTAGAGGTTCAAACAAGTGTGAGATATGCCAGTAAGTGTTCTACATAGATGGTTCTTGACTGTTGCTTCGAATTACTTTGCCATACTGATTTTCCTTACTATACAGGCAGGATGCTGTCAATATCCCCCCTCCAGAGACGCAAGCAAGTGTATGTTTACTATTTTGCACTTTATATCTTTCAATCTGTATTGGATCATTTGGAGAATGTGTGCTTCCTAGTTCATATGTATATCCATTGTCGTTTATGCTCTAACTAAGAAACCGGTCTATGTTTATGTTTAGCCAAGTTAAACTACCTGTTGTCAGTTCGTATCTATTTGTAGTTTTAAGAACACCTCATTAAATATAACAACTTCCATTGGCTTTGTTCTGGAAGACTTCTGTTCCACAATTACATAAATGAAGGCCATCCTGAAATTTGAGGAGGCACAGTATTGATAAAAGTACAAGTCGAATTCCTCTTTCTACTTGTGAAATTTACTTGTTTTCATTCAACAGACAAGGTATTGGGTTTGGAGGGTTGATTCGACTTATGGAAGGGGACGAGGAGGACGTGAAAGGGTATTTTTATCACTGGATATGATAAATAAGAAACAAAAGCACTAACCTGACTCTTTATATCAAAAAATGATTATTGATCATGTAACAATGTGCAAGTATTCTTTTTTGTTGAACCTGTATTTCGAAGCAGCCTCTCCTCGGATTTTGCGGGGGAAAGGCTTGTCTCGGTTTATCACTTCCCTAGACCCCACTCATGTGGGAGCCTCCGGCACTGGGTCTGCCCTGCCCTTCATATTTTATTTTGTTTCTCTTTTTGTGTGTAGGGATGGTTTAGCCCACTTTGGGTTGCATTTGCAATTCTGATTGGTGGTCTCTTATTGGATGTGCTGATATCTGTTTCTCTTGGTGTTTCCGCGCTCCCTGTCAATATAATAATTGGTATGGAACAATGTTTTCTTCTACCATATTCTTACAGTTCTTTTAAACCTTTTGTTAAATTCAAAAAAGACAAAGGAAGGCGGGACATGAATTAGCTTCATCGTACCTAACCTTACAGTTTGTTCTTTGGCAATAGATAATTGACTACTCTCCTCTTGCATAAGCAAAATGGTCAACCTAACATTATTAGATTGACAAATAGGAGTTTGGAACTTCAAAATTTTCATGTAAAAGAAAAATTACAAGTCACTGGACGAAATTCAGTTTCATCTGATGTTCATGCTAATACTGTTTCCTAGTGTCATTTCATTTTATATTGTCATCGTGTTCACAAAATGACCGACTTAGTAATTGTATTTTGCGACGGTCCTCATCTTGAAGTCTTGGGCTTAGTCTTAGGATCACAGGAAATCTACTGGTTTTCAGGGGTAGACAAGCAACTCAAAACTTCTGAATTCCCAGACGATTTAAATAAATAAAGCACTAGAATAACGGGCTCTTGAAACAGCCATTTCTTTTTTTTTTCTTTGAGATTGAATGGGTAGTGATTATGTATGTATCAGCATCGAACTCATTGACAGTTGGAAATTTTGTTAGATTATGTGGCATCAGGAAGGGTAATGTATCTGAATATGTTGCATTAGATTTATTAGCAATCAATATGTTTTTTATGCTTCATACTTTTGGTACTACTACTTTTGCATTGATTCACTTGAAAGACATTTTGCATAGTGAATATTGTTCATTGAATAACCTGACCGATGCGATGTTTGCAGGCGTTCTTATAGTTCTCGGATTGGGCACCGCCCTTCGTCTAGCCCTTGAGTGCTGTCAGGAATGGGGCTCAAGGAGGAACGTGAGCAACATGCCGAGGCTGGAGAACATACCGCCAACTGGGTACCACCCTGCAGTAGTATAATCATTATGGGACTTGTAAATAGCGTAGGAACATCTAAGCCCGTGCTGGCTTTTGGATGACATTCTCGCAATTAGCTTTAGCTCACACGTTGCTCGTTAATGTGGAGCTCAAATTCAAAGCTTGTTGATTGCGATCGGGTTCATACTCCACTAGTCCACTCCAAATTGTAAATACAGAGTTACTGATACTCGGGTGTTCACGGGCTAGTGTTGATGCCAAACTGGCAGCACCTTAATTGGATGCTGTCCGGCAATCATTCAGCGCGACAGCGCTAGGTTTCTTCTCCCTTGTACTGTTTGCTCTGACAAATCTGGGGTTGTGTTTCATCTTATCTGTGGTTTGTGAGTATAGGCAATTGTGAAGGCCATTTGAGCCAATGCTGTTTTCATACGTTTATGCACTAAGTTGGGTTGGATATAGCGTTTTTATATGAACTAATTTGCTGATAACTATGGTGATTACATACAACCATAAATTTTACACTTCCCTTCGGATTCTTGACAATCCTCCTAGCAAGCCTTGATTTGCACTAATATGGTAAAAAAAAAGGAGTTGCATGGGCATTATAAAAAATGGAGACACCTACCTTTTCTTTTCATTGTCTTTCTGAGAGAGAGGTACCAGATAAGGACCTTTTGTTTTTTATTAAAGAAACCAGGTTGTATTTTATTTATCCGTAGAATTAGATACTCCCTCAACTTTAAATTTGTGGGGGTATAACCCCGGATACCCACAGAGCTGTACATGGGCCGTGCCGCTAGAGGAGGCCCAGCCTGCAAGATCACGGTGCACGGCACTGGTCGGCGTGCACTGCAAGACTATGTGAAGATCCTTGACGACGAAGGATGATCTGATCGGATATGCTACGATGCCGTATTCCTTGTAAATAGATATCATGTAACCAATCAGGATTAGATTCAAACCGACATGTAAACCCTACCTCGCCAAAGATACAGAACGTAGGGTATTATGTCGAGTTGACGGTCTGAACCTGCCTAAATTGCTGTCTCTGCGCCTGTGTTACCATCTAGGTCATATCTCGCGCACCTCCACCGATTAATCTATTACCGTGGGCATACCCCTCGGTAGACTGCCAACCATATTCCGTCGACAAAATTATAGTCTATTTTGATCCTATTCTAAGTCAAACCTTATTAACTTTGATCGCATTTTCTAAAAAATATATATATATATATATATATATTATATTTTTAAGTTTGAATAAATGTACTATTAAACTATATTTCATATAAATTTTAATGAAAGTAATTCAATGTTGTATATATTGATGTATATTTGTATAAATATATTCAAATTTAAAGAATTCTAATTTAGAAAAAACTACAGTGCACTTTAATTTGGAACGAAGAGAGCACATTGCATTCATTACAAAGGCATTCTGAGTAAAAGAGAATTTACATTACACATCGAGGTTCTTGTAAGCATTAACCAGATGAGGAGCTGGGCCACCTCTATCAGAGCTCCATTTCACTTCAGCCCAGCCCACAAACCCACCACAATGGCTCATGAGCATCATTCTCGGAGCCTACCAAGTACCAACCACGTCACCGGCGGCATATCGCCCAGCGGCCAGCGCCGTGGAAACCGTAGACGAGGAGGACAAGGGAAAGAAAGCTTACGGCCCCAATCTCGCGTCCCGCCGGCGGCCACCACAACCATCACCGCCATGATCAGCATCCTGGCGCAGGTAACCCACCTTAGGCCATCTAACCACTCGAGAAATCGACGGGGTCATGCTTGATTGTTGTGGCTGATTCGGTTCGTTTCCTCGTGGCTTGGCCTCCGGATCTGCGCGCAGGAGCGCCTCCTCGGGTTCGCCCTGGGCTCCGTCTCCATGGGTGGCTTCGTCCTCCACCAGCGCCGCGCCATCTACCGCCCAATCGCTGAAGCTGACGGGTCGCCCTACTTCTACCAGGTCAGCACCTGGTTGCTTCCACGGGGCCTACAGCCCAGCAGCTGTTTGCTTTCTGAACTAATGTGGCGATTCATGGTTTAATCTTCCGTAAGAACTGTGGACGAACGATCATTTTTTATGACGTGATCTTGTGCCGCTCCCTAGCTTGACAATAGAGAGACTATAATATCAGCATGTTCCATTCCTTGGGGTTAGGTACAGATTGTTAGCTTGAAGAATCCTCTTGGCCTTTTTATGATGTTATTAGTGCGATAATACTAGTCATCATTCAGTAAGGCAGACATTGCAAACCCAACAGGAAAAAACTCCCTCTTTTCATTTTATACAGCGTCTTTTGGTTGAAAATGTGTAACTTCCTAAGTTTTGATCAACAACTGACCAAATTATATGCATTTTAGTGTACAAGTGGTACTTTTAATATGCTATTGATTTTGTAAAATTGACAGTATACTATAGGATTTTATCAAAATGAAAATAGGCCTTATCAAACTCAAGTTAGGGAATGTCAACATAAGCTAAGCTCAGGGACTTGGGAACAAAGGAATACCGAATGTGCACAACTTTGTTCCCTCCTTAGTTTGGTTGTATTTTTTCATGAATTAAGTGCTGTCTGGATTAATGTTTTTGTTGCTGCTTTAATAAAAGGGACTAGAATTTAGTGTGGTATCTGGTAGTAATGGCACTAAAAGAATTAACATTACTAGAAACCTCCAAGTTAGAAAATATCAAATTCTGCTTCAGAAATCTTGGAGCTTGTGAGATTAATGCCTGTATGTTCCCAAACCAGTGACATCACAAGATACAAAGAACAAAACCTCAATAGAGTTATGGAAAGGGAAAATTGGTTGTATAGCACCAAAAGACTGCAAGATTTGGAAAATACCATTGAAAGAACTCCATTACGTGATGTACCATAAAAACGTGAAATAGCATCCCTTTATGTTGGCATCCAACACCGTGAACCCCTCCGTCCCAGGCCCACAAGCCAGTGAGACGCCTCGGCCTCTTCTCCATGACTGCATCCTGCTCCCATAGCTTCTCACCTCCTCTTCACTGCCTCGTTCGTTGGTCTCCGTGCCCACTGTATCCGACTCTGCAGCTGGCTAGCCCTACCTCATCCTCTTCCTCCGATCGTGGCCTGGGCGGCCACAGTGGCATATTCGCGTGTCCTGACATGGGATGGGGCGGTGCTGTGTGCCATGGCAATGAAAGGGGATGAGCCAAGGAAGAACAAGCAATGAAAGGAGATTGGGGAGCCCTACTGCTCTGGGCTGCAATTGCGGAAACAGCTACGCGGATAGGAGAAGAAGATAGGAGAATGGAGAGCAGCTGCTGTTAATTTACTTTTGTGGCTTGCTGCTGCTAGCTCGTGCAGGAGGATGAGAAGAGAGAGCTGCTGACCGTAGTTGGATTAGAGGAAGCAGAATGCAGCGACGAGCGAAATTAATTGGAGAGGAGGAGCAAGAACAACAAGCCGTCTAGCAGGAAATGGATGCAAGAGAGGAGCAGGACGGCGAGCACAGGAAAGAAGAAGGCGACGAGATTGTTTGCCGGAACTCAGCGTGGGAAGCATAAGGGAGGAGCTAATCAGGATTGACGGTGTTAGCTCCAAACCGTGACGGATTTACGTGTCCGAGATCTTTCAATGGTATTTTCCAAAAACGATGTTCTTTCAGTGCTATAGAACCAATTTCCCCTTGTGGAAATCGAAAACTACCGCTTTGACACTGCTATGACTTGCATTTTCTCTTATCAGAGGTTTAGACACATCCCGCGTATTAAAAGAAGGTTCTTTCATGTTTGTCTAAGGAGGAACCATCGCAAGTTATTCAAATTCAACATACTTATATGATACCTTTTTTGAAGAAATGTTGCAGTTTTTTTTTAATCTTTGTCTATAACTGTTATCCCATCAGCTTTCTTGCATATCAAGATAAGACTGTAAATATACTGCAAAATTAGTAGCAAAGTAGGTGAGCAAGTGAACTGTAAATATCACACCTGTGGCAGCGAGCATGTTCTGTAGGAAAAATAATGTTGTTTGGTCGTGGAACATGTGTATTTAAACTGTTTTTTCAGTGTGGGTCATAGCTAGAAATGGTATCAGAATCTAAAGCTGGACAGTGGTAAGCCTATTAGCATGGATGTGTCATGTTTTTTATGGGGACATAACAACATAAGAGCAGTAAGCGGTATCGTTCCCTTTCATACCCCAGCAGCCGTGGCAACAAAACAAAACTGTTATGTTCCAAAGTTTTACTTATCTTTCCAAATTACATCTCAGATTTTTTCTCTCGTGATGAATATATCCTCAGTGTCATAATCTTTCCTGCTGCACAGCCTGGTGAAATCGCCAGTCGAAGCAGCTCAACTGAACTGGCTCATGTATGGAACAAGGCGGTGGACGAGACCCTTGGGAGACTTGTTGTGTACCTTAGCTCCCGTGGATGGTGATTCAAGCACCATGCAGAACATGGCAACTGAGGAAGCACGGGGTGGGGGAAGACTCTTTTTTGAAGCCACTGATGTGCTCATATTTGTCTGTACCCGGATTGAACATGTTTTGTTTTAAGAGAAAAGATACTCCCAATGACCGATTTATCTCGAACTGAGCTGATTCTACCGCACGCTTCCCTGAACAGGTGGATGTTACTTCAAGGTCAATGTTCTAGCTCTGTGAAAGGCAGGATTCGTCTAACTATTTTACATATATACAACAACAACAACAAAGCCTTTTAACTATTTTACATATATGTATTGCTAATAAAGAATGTATGTTGTGCTGACTTTGCAACACTCCAATGGAAACTATGGCCATTCTCTAATGGTCAGTTACCTGTCCATCCCCGATCACCCTCAGTGTCAGTTCTGGTCTTCCATCTCTGACACAGGTTTCAGTTTGTCGTTGATTATACCTGTATATATATAATCTCAATCGCAAATTCAGTTTTACTCATGATTCAGTTGCATCACCCATTAGCTGCAGTGAGAGATTGTCATCAAGCGCCATATATCTCCACTAGTCGATTTGCCTGAGTGTCATCGGGCGAAGCAGCTGTCTGTCTCCGTCCGCGGAGGCACCGTCTTGGTTTCCCGGCACCGGCAAGCGCACGGAGTAGGTTTGGGCACAGAAGCGACCTGCATCTCATGGAGGCGTACGACGGTCACTGTGAACGTGTGATATTGAAAATGAAAAATGAAAACGAAGAGAAAGGTCAAAGTGTGAGGTTCGTTGGTCTGTGCATTGGGAGAGACCAGGAGCGAATCAAGCCTGGACGCTGGTGGTGTGTGTTGATCTGTGCAACATGGACTCTAAGCTCGAGCAAGGTCAACGGTGCCGCCGCTGCTCATGGTTCCGAACCTGGGAGCCACGAGATGAGGGAAGTGACTCGGTTACAGGCACGAGATCTTAAATAAAATATAAAAATACACTGTACATTAATTTATACTGGTTGATTGTACTACGATTTATTGAAAATGTGATGGCTAAATTGCAATATGAACAGTTAATAGGCCGTTTTATGTCGAAATGTTCGCACTTCTCGGCACAGCGCTCTCAGCAAATGTAATTTCGCACAGGCAAAAGGCTTCAAAGTCCTGACTCCCGCACCAACATTTCCGCTAGACCCAACAAACAGCACCTTGCATTCCATATTTATACAAACAGCCCGGCCCAACTCTCTGAGCCCACCTAAAGCTATCCCCCACACACACACGTAGCAAACCAGTCCGCGGGCCCTGAAGCAACTACGCGGTCGACTTGGGCGCGGCCGCGCCCGCGCCACCGCGCGCCGCCACGACCCGGCTCCGCACCACGGCGTAGGCCACGCCGACAGCCACCAGCGCGGCCGCCGCGGCGCCGACGAAGACGCCTGTCACCGTGTGGTTGTGGCGCCGGCGCGTCTCCACGGGCGCCACGGCCGCCCCTTCTTCCTGGTCGGCCTTCGCTACGCCCGCCGACGACGTTCCTCTGACCGCCGACTCCCTCAGCTGCTGCTGCTGCTGCTGTACGCGAGGCGCGAGCGCCGGCGCCGGCGCGACGCCGTGATGAGCTCGACGGGTGCGCGCGCTGGGGTGGAAGAAGTCGTAAGCAGCTGGAGACAGAGCAAGCGGGCTCTCGAAGGGGAGCCCGTGCGGGTGCGCTGCGGTGGGCCTCTCCTCGCCGCGCCCGCCGACGGGTAGAAGCACAAGAGCGATCACCGCCACCGCCACCGCCGCCGCCATTGCGGTGATCTTAGCCATGGCTCGAATTGCACCTTCGGTTGATCGAGCTGGAGCTTGATCTTGTTGGTCACATAAGTTCGCAGGCCGAGTGTGATCGAGCTTGAATTCTTTGTGCTTATATATAGAGAGGGCGTAGCCGTAAGCAAACAGGGGTACGGTGCGTGAGGCTTTGCTTCTACTTCAATTCTTGTAGTGGCAAGCGAAAGGGGAGCAGAATGATGGCAAGGTGTGAAGAGATGGCATGATGTTTTACAGGAGCTTTAGCTCCAGCCTCCAGGTGCAGTGCAGAAGATATCCATATGGAGGAGGGGGTGAGACAGCGAGAGTGAGACACGTCCTTAATCAGTCTTGTTCATTCTATACTTCATAAAAAAAGATCTTGTTTATTCAGACTAGTTAAGGGATCAATCATAGTCACTCCGACATGCGCTTCAGAAACACTGTTAGTTTTGTTATTGTCTTTAAAGCATGCCTTTTAAGCAACTTTTGGTTGCCTTTATGTTCGCTTTCAGGCTATTAGGGCACCACCAACCCTGGCTAACAAGCCTGTTAGCTTCATAAAAAAGGTGCAGTACACATAAGCAAGGAGCAAAGGTAACTCCCATCTTCCCAACGCAGACAAATGGTCTTGCAGCCTTTTCAGATGATGTGCAGGTGCTAAGGACGCCATTCATCCTCTCCAACGCGGGACTGAGCGGTGGCTTTAGCTGTTTTGTCAGTGAAGCACTTGCAGCCTCTGCAAGCTGCACTGCACATCTGCAAGACCACTACTTCATGCGACGTGGAAGTTATCTGCAAACGTGGCGGTTGAGACCACTAGACACGGTGGCGCGTTGGGGCTGCTCTAATGATGGAGACATTCTTTGCCATAAAGGGAATGAGCAAAGAAGAATCCTTTATAATCTTTAGCCTGCGTAATTGTGATCGAGTTGAATATCTAGTAGATACTGGTGAGGACGTGAAGTTATGCAGTATTTGTTCGAATTTGTGATTAGTTATGATTAGAAGTAACTCTTGATTGGTAATAGGGCTAATCTGACAACAACCAAAAAACCACACAGTAGTTAATTACTCAACGAACAAAACTAGCAGGCACCAATGCAGATTAGTCTCAGCAAGTACAGTAGCTAGGAGGATCTGTTAATTGTATACACCAGCCCTGAACTGAATGATCCACTCCAGATGCTTTTACGATCCAGGCCCCAATTTGCACTAGATAAACCATGCAAGGCCCAGAAAAGCCCAGGCAGCACCTGCAGGGATGCAGCAGAGGGCATGATTTTTACCTCCCCTCCTTGGCCCATCCAGCCATGCCTGCCTGCCGCAGCAACACACCACGCATGATTGCTGCCTGCGCACTGCGCAGGGGCACCGCCGTCTGCCGTGCCAAATCCATCGATTCGAAGAGCGCCCGCCAGCGCCACCGCCGCAGCCTCGAGCAATTGAACAGGCGTGGCATGCAGCCATGCCCCACGTTACGTCGCCTTTACTCCTCCATCTTTTCCACGCCACGCAGGGGTGCGCATCCCGGGACATTGCAAATTTGCAACGCAGAGGCAGAACCTGTCTGTCTGAATGTGCTGTTATACTAGCAGCCAGCCACTCTTCAGAAACACAAAGATACTAGTAGTATATTACTAGGAATCTTTCTGAGTATTGGCTACTAGGGTTCTTTGTTAAATGGGATGGACAAGGACAAGGATGCCACATTTTGGATGTAGCTTTATGTAAGATGCAACTGTGTCAATGGCTAATATGTTAGACAATTGACATTGTTCACAGGGTGCAGAATGTTGCTTGGAATCTTGTCTTTGTTTATTTGTGTTTGAGTAATCATACCCCGTGAGGCATGGCTTAGATTGTATGATTACCTTCTCTTGTTGCGCGCAGGGAGTATGTTTACGGAAAAGGTGGTAAGGAAATGGCTCTCTGCTGTAGTGCTGCTATTGCTATGGTTTGCATTTTTCCTTTCCCTCTCTCGTTACGAGATGCCATGGCTGTAAGGTCTGAAATCAGAATGTTTTGCTATAACTGATGAGGGCACCGCATGGGTTGGGAGGGATTGAGGTGAATCAGAGTGCAACATATGAATTAGGGTGAATTGGAGTGCGGCAAAACAAGCCTTTAGGGCACATCCAACGGTTGAGCTAGAAAACTAGCTTATATTTTACCTCATCATTTAGAAGATAGTACATAAGACAAGCTCTCCAATAATCTAAATCTAAACATCTCACTATGAGTCCCACATCATTTATTTTCTCTCACCCACACCTCACCATGGCCCCCAATAACAGTCCATAGTTTGTTCGAACCTAGCTAAGAAATACTCCCTTTGTCGCAAAATAAATCAACTTCTACAGTTGTCATAAGTCAAGTTAATTTTAGTTTGACCAAATTTGTAACAGAACCGACCAAATCATAAGAACGTAAGTACAAAAACAATCACCGAAGCGATCAAATTCTTGTACTTAAGCTCCCATAATCCCGGTAGTCCAGAAATCACGAAGGATTTCAACCAACTCTCGACATACAAACCAAGACCGTAGTGATTCAACACAACACATCATTCGTTACAATATTTCACAAGTAGCATTCGGATTACACCCATCAGAGTTCAAATAAAATATTACAAACCAAGTTCAAATCGGCGGAAGCAACATAGTTTAGTACATAACTTCATAGTTTCAAATACATTGCCAGATCTTAGTCATGTCCCACAAAAGCACCTTCAGATACGAGAACTAGGAGAGACCGTGCCCAACGGTCTAGTCTTCATCCCCAGCCGGGAGAATGCAATACTTGCAGCAACCAAAGTAGAACTGGTCATCTGCAACAGGTGGGAGATAAACCCTGAGTACGAGAAGGTACTCAGCTAGACTTACCCGTCAAAACCAGAAATAAAAGACACCAAGGATCATACAAGGCTTATGAGGTGGGCTAGCTTGACACAGTTGCATAAAAGAGCTTATGATTATAGTAACCAATTTAAACTTAGCATTAAGCTTATCATCATTTACCGGTCCACTAGATTAGCACCTGTACTAGAGCACTCACTTATTAGGAGCAAACAATATTAACCATAGCAGGTATAATAAGGCTGTCATCATCATATCATCCTTTCTGAACCATTATGTTATTTAGTGCCTACATTGGAGATAAGCCCGTCAAGTTCTCACTAACCGGGAGAGACGGCGACTCGAATCGAATTACAACTCAGCTGAGGGGGTATTCCTAACTCTCACCCTGGCATACTTAGCAAGGGTAGCCGTGGGTCACCTTTGGAACAACTCAGGAACCAAATTCGTGGGTTCGATCAGCGTCAGCACTCTCAGGGATTACCCTTCTGCCAGGACGATCAGGACTTTTAAATCACCTGCCCTTGGACTCACGCCTACGTCTCCCTTCCGAGGCGCACTTTATACTTATCGACTCCCGGCCTGAGGTGAGCTACTCGGCTTCGTGGTCGGTCTTCGGACACGGCCAACTAAGAGAGAGGCATGCGTTCAACATGAACAGGAAAGGCTCCAAGATTCAGTTCTTAATCGACACAGACGGAGTCATTGCAAACCGGCAAGCCTCCATCCGGTCTTCATTTCAAATTAAGACTGGTTCTTTTCCACGATAGCAAATATAGCCAACCGTGCCATATGTATCTTCCTATATCTCGCAGGTGACAGGAAATCACCTGACTTCTACCGTGTTTAAGCAGGGCTAAGCACTACACGAGCCTGAGCTACATAGGATTCAGGGTATCAATATCTGGACAAGGATCGGGTAACCAATGCAGCAAGTGTTTGCATCCAACACCTAAACTTAATGCAACAATATATATATAACAATAATACTGTAACTGCATTTCAGAAATTAGGAGGCTTAATATGCTCCGGGGCTTGCCTTTCACAAAGTTGCACGGACGGTGATCCGGGCACTCAACGGCGATCTCGTCTGGCACACCTCCTAAACCTCCGGTGTCGGCTGCTGCTGCTCGCTCGGTTCCTCGAATTCTAGCAGAGTTACTCCCTCCGGTACACCTATTGCATACCGATGCACGAGATAAATATTACGGATGCATAAGGAATGACATGATGCTTATGATGAATGAATCACAGTAAATATTTAACGAAAATATCACTGGACACCCGTTTACCGAGTAAAATAGCTCTATTCAAATCACTTTAAGCATGTATCTAAACTTAAAGAACAAGATCAACTTACCTAACTTGCATAACCTAAGATAAAGGTGCTCATCTTCAGTTAAAGGCCTAACACCTAGAAACAATACCACCAACTTAGAAATAGTAAAGGCATTCATAAATTAACATTTAAAGTTTCATATGCACACAAGTCGTCCCTTTATTCAATCACAACAAGAGTTCCACAATTCCAAATGACTTGCATGAGGACATTCTGGAAAGCTTATGAAATTCTCTACAAATAAATTGTAAACATCATAGCATGATTCTTACGTTAACCAAATCGAATTCCAGAAATTCTGGAATCTGTCCAGAAATGACAGGGTTACTAACTTAATTATTTAATGATGATGCAAAAGCATAATTTGACCAAACCAAGTTTATCAACTTGTTGCACATACCAGAGAAACATCAGAAAGTCTAGTGCCAACTTCTAAACAATTTATTTAATGCCCTTTTTTAATTTCTTTAGTTAATTAGGTGATTAAAGCAATATATAGTAAAACTATTCAGAAAAATCTACAAAAATTACAGTAGCTATCTCATGCTTTACATAGACTACCATAAAAATTTCAAAGTCATTGGGCAAGCAGAACTTGCTGTATCTAAAATAACAGGTGGCATGTCTATTTTTAGCATAATTAGGAAACCCTATTCAAAAGTATCAAGCAACATATTTCTCATTTTTCCTAGCCTCATTCTAGCATAAGAACAGCACTCACCAATTTTTACCTTTACTGGATCTATAGAAAAATTATGAAAATTCACACAAGATCCATCCATGCAAACAAGATAATTTTCTATCTC